GCAGGGCAAATATATGGTCAGAGGTGCTTCGACCGGGCCGGAAGCCACACTGCTCTTCTTGAATCTTGAGATGAACTATTTCGCGGCACCTCCTTTCTTACGCCTTTGCGTAGACTTTACCTGGGAGGCTCAATAACGTTATGCCCCTATAATTGGAGCATTCCTTGCGATCTCCCTTCTTGAATACGGGTACAATAACACCCGTTCTCCAGTCCGCTGGTGTCTTTCCCGCAGTCATCGCATTTTGACAGCCACCTGTTAGCCAGCACATGCCTTGTTCGCCTAATGCCTTGAGCATCTCAGGGCGGATTTCATCAATACCAGCAGCTTTTCCATTTTTCAAGCTTTTCACAGCTTGTGTGAGTTCATCTGCAGAGACAGTGATATCCGTACCCTTCTGTTCTACAGGCGACTCTTCTTGTGTTGCGCGGGATTAAGGAGTTCCTCAAAGTATTCCCTCCATCGCCGAAGAATGTCATCGTCCCTGGTAGGAGGGTGTCCAGATCTGTCCTTCAAGACTCTGAAACTGCCCGTTTTTTTCAACTCGTAGCCGGCAGGTGGTCTGCCAGAATACTTTGTTTGCCGTGCGGAAATTCGACTCCAGCACCTCACCGAACTTCTCCCAGGAATCAGCCTTGGCTTTTGCCCCTGCTATGGCTGCCGCCTTGCGCGCCTCGACATATCGCACGCGTGTAGATGGCTCCTTGTTTCCAAATCATTTCTTGAACGCTGCTTTTTTCTCTTTAACTGCCAGTTGTACCTCTCGTGTCCACCATGAAGATCTTTCTGACCTCCAGGCGGTAGGCCAACCCGTTTGTATCCGCAGCATTCGGCGGCAGCCTCGAGTAGGCCTCTCTTAAACAGCTGCCACTCGAGGCGGCAGGCCAACCCGTTTATATCCGCAGCATTCGGCGGCAGCCTCGAGTAGGTCTCTCTTAAATAGCTGCCACTCGGACCACTGCGGAGCACAGAGTGGTCGTAAATGTTCCGTTTCTAGCACAAAGCCGGTTGTTGTCAAAACTGTTCCATTTTTACTCTTACATTGATTTCGCAAAGTCGGTTCTCCTTTGCGGAGATGAGCTGTCCCAGGTAGATATAGTTTTTCATCACTTCAGGCCTAAGTCAATTTAGTTCAGCATATAGCAATTTAACGGCGATTTTGCTTGTCCTTGTTAGACGCCCTATTCGATTTCAAAATATGCAGCTATTTCGTTAGTTTTTCAGCTGAACAGTAGCAGATATACACAGTGATGAAATTGTTAGCTTGACCGATAGGAGTTCATAAACTTACATATCGTAGCCATCTTGACGGAGCAGTGCTCATAATGATATTTAAAAAGGGTCAATCAAAATGGAATGCAATAAAAAATGATTGAACGTTGATAGCCAAGACTCTCTTGATACACATTAAGAGAATTAAATAGTCGATATTGCAGGTATATGTCTACATGTGCATTCATGTATGTGCTCCTTGCAGCACTTCGTACTCTTTCAGTGTTTCCGCATGTCCATTCTGCACGATCAAAACAAAGCGGCTTATACTATCTCGCTTAGCTTCACGGCGTTCATTCACACTGGATGGGTCACCACAGATTCTTAGAAATACCGTATGTGTGCAATGTTGACTACTGTGAAATCTCCAATACGTTCAAATTATATTTTTTAATAAATTTTGTACCCACAGGAACACTTCATACTTTTCAAAACTTGTTTCAATTATGACCATATTTTTAAGAACAGAAGTTGTTCAGAGATTTGAAGGTTCAAACTTCGTATCCTATAACTCTGTTTCTCTGCTTCGAACAGTCAAGGCTTAATATGTCTCCCCTACTGGCTCTGCACGAAGCAACCACTGCGGCGAGAAATGGATTTCCGAGGTGAGCCGATCAACCCTTGTACTTTTAAGAAGGCCGGCGAGACGCTGGCCAAAACGCCAGTACTGGCCAATCATCTGACTGACAGCATTGTTTTCGTTGTTTATTGCTAGGCCTTTTTATGCTGTCTTGATATTTTATGATTTAACTAACGAATATATCTTATGATTTATCTTTATTGCTGTCAAGCATAAGCGAAAATCGTCAGATTTTAACAATTCAATTAAAATAATAATATCCTAAGCTTCTAGGTCTCACTCTTTTGTTGCCATATTTGCTTACCTTGCCAAAATCTTACCTTGAAAATGCGAAATTGCGTGTTTTCACGATCGCCAGCAGCGAAAATCTTCTCGAGAAGGAACAACGAAGGTAAAGTTGTATCGCCTTAACGTCGTTTTTAAATGTAGACATTTTTTAGCTTGGCCACCCTTTTGAGCAAGTTTCGAATACATTATTCAGAGGTTTATGCTATCCCCAGGATAACGAAAAGGCCGTCACAGAAAATGTAAGCAATTACTCCATTGATCATCATGTGTAACTTCGGCCGCTGCAGGTCAGATGGCCTGTTTTACCTTCCCATTGCTGCATGACATTTTGTGACAGGGAACATGGACGAATCATTATTACAAGTTATGGAACAAATGATGCACACAAGAACAACTGACATAATGCTCTTTCTGCAAGCCGGCAGGTTTTCTTGTGCACTTTGACTTTCCTTTCGGTTTCTTGGATTCTTTGCGATAGTCCTTCTCACCAGAGTAGACCTAAAATATTTGGAATGAGCGGCCAGCCAGTCGTTGATGGCGCAGCGAAGCAGCTTTCACGCTTGTATGCATCATGGCATTTCAAATGTTGCAGTGATATTGTTGACATGTTGACATATTACCCTAATGTGCTATACATGTCGTTAGTTACTCATTTAGATTAATGAATGTTGATATGTCCTGCTTCACATAAACATAGCATTGTTGCTCCTGACTGTGGACTGTGAGCATTGCCGAAATTGGAATTTACTCAGGTGTACTATTTTCTTCTTTGTTATCCATTTACCTGTTTCTTGGACACGGCTGGTGGTGGGCATACCTGCATGCATCGAGGAATATGACCTTTGCTGCAGTCGCAAACGTTATGTAGTATACTAATCTAGACACCAGTTCAGACGGTAAGACATCACAAACGTTAACTGGTATCTGTCCATTCTTTGTTAGTTGAAGATAATTATGACAATGACAAAACAGTCATTGTTTATGAATTGAAGTGATTTTTGATTCACAAATTAATTACTGAAGTTTTTAGGCT